GCACATGTATACATATGTAACAAACCTGCACGTTGTGCACATGTACCCTAGAACTTAAAGTGTAATTAAAAAAAGAAAAAAAATTTTTTGTAATAAGTAAGAGATAAGCAATATGATCCTGCCCTGTCCAAATGGAGGGCGGGGTGGACTTGGGAGAAGGAAAGGACAACAGAACCACGGCATTTGATGTAAACGTGCCCAGGAAACTTGTAAAGATATGACGCTGGTGGCTGTTAATGCACCCAAAGTACCTGCAAGTGGCACTGAGACTCTCAGCCTTAGCTACCCAGTAGGATCAGCCAGGGAGCTTCAAAAGAGACACCCAGGCCCAGACCCTCCACATCAACAGCTGAAGCCCGCACTCCAGGAATGAGGCCAGGGCCCCAAGAGATTCCAACATGTCCTCAAAGTTGAAACCAACTGATACAGCAAACTCTCAACAAGTAACAGCAACTACTCATTATTCAATGTTAATTTATAGCCAGCATAATTACCATTTTAATGGTTGTATATAATGAATTCCATCATGTTTATAGACCATTATTTACTAAGCTGCTCCTGGAAATTTAGATCACTTTCAATTGTTTATTATGATATGATGCAGATCTGCCAGAATATATTCTTTGCCTTTCTTGGGTATTTGCTGAAGAGCAATTCATAGGAGGTGGAATTCTTGAGCATGAACATCTTGAAAACCACAGAGATTTTAGACCTTGGTGGTGATGTAGTGAAACACCTGCATTTTACTATTAGGCATGCAGTAAAACTTTCAATTCCATATTGGAAAAAAGCTGAAGCTTCAAGAAACAAAGCATTTCAGGTGGAGGGTACTTTCAACCTCTGTTTCTGGCTGTTTTCACTTCTTTAATCTTCCCTGTAGGCTCAAAAGAAAACAGGCAGAGAGAGGGGGGCTAGATTTCCTGCAGAGAGAGAGAAAAGAGAGAGAGAGAGAGAGAGAGAAAGAGAAAGAGAGACACAGAGAGAGAGAGAGGAGAGAGAGAGAGGAGAGAGACAGAGCAGAGAGAGGGGGAAAGAGACAGAGAGAGAGAGAGGGAAAGAGAGACAGAGAGAGAGAGAGGGAAAGAGACAGAGAGAAAGAGAAAAGAGAAAGAGAGAAAAGAGAGAGAGAGACAGAGAAAGAGAAAAGCGAGAGGGAGAAAGAGAGAGAAAAGAGAAAGAGGAGAGAGAAAGAGAGAAAAAGAGAGAGACAGAGAGAGAGATAGAGAAAGAGAGAGAGAGAAAGAGAGAGAGAGAGAGAGAGAAAGGGCCAGTGCCTCAGACCCTGTCAGCCTGGAAGACAGCTCTGTTCTCAGAGTCCGGCTGTGAACCTGCACCTCCCCCTGTGACACCAGCTGCAAAGCCCAGAAGGTGGCTGGAGCTGAGATGCTGGCGGTGGGAATTCACTTCCTATCCACGCGAGCAAGTCTGCTGGGTGGGTGCACAGCATCTGCCAGCAAATCCCCAGGCAGAGGGCTGTC